CTTCTATCTTAAAGAAAAATTAAATATTTTATATTCTATTAATCTATCTAAAAGAATAAAAGTAATAAAAATAATAAAAATAATAAAAGTAAAAAAGTAATAAAAGTATGAAAAATAAGATTTTTCTTATTTTTTATGTGACCATTTACTTGGATAGGCAACAGAACCTAAATTTAATGATTGATTATATATTAAATATTATGTATGATTATAATAACTGTAATACCAATTCTGGGGCTCACTATAAGTAATTTATTATATTTAATAAACTTTATTTGATAATTAGATTTAGTTTATTTAATAAAAAACAAAGTTAGGAGTGTGGAGAACTAGTGAAGTAGTTAGGTTGTTAACCCCCAAATAGTAGTTTGGGTGTTCAAATCCTATCAATAGTGGAAATTTGAATACACATCTATGTAATATTTATATTATGACAACTGTTACTAATGATTGGGTTAGGATACCTGTAATAGTGGTTACATTAGCATAACTGACAGGTCATGGGCTTTTGTGCAATGTTGGAGTTATACAGAAAAATACAAACTGACAAATCAGACAGTACAAACACTAGATAAGTTCTTGTAGTCATATAAATCTGTTGAAATTAGGTAACAAGAAGTTCATTTGAAAAGACCTGAGTAGAGAGGTAGCTGAATCTTCAATGACTCTATTGTAAAGGTTAGTTTAGTAAAATGGATACCAAGGTCTAGTACCTAGTTGTAGTAACAAGATAAACAAGAACTTCTGAGTTGGAAATCTCAGAAATATCATCAATCAGGCTTCTAGAACAAACTGGAGAAAAAAGATATCAGGCTGATCCAATATAATGATGGACTAGTCATAGTCCTATATGAGCTATTTGAATTAGGAGTTTGGTAAAAAAATAAGAGAAAAGGCAAGAGTATACTAAAGTACCAGGATTATACTGTAAAATAGATACTAGGGTCTAAGTGAACTTTATAAGAATATAGCAGTTTAATAGTTAAGTCCTAATTGCAAGTGTTGGTTCTGACATAATGATATCTAAGTCAGCTGTAAAAATGGGTATAAAAGGCTCTGGAAGTTTATTTTGAGGATAAATTAATCCTAAGGTTGAGATGATGATCTGGGCATCTGAGTATGACCCAGTGAGTTAACACAGATTACAGTTTAGAGTATTTAAAATGGAACATCCAAGCAGGGATGTTAGGTACAGCAATTGATGAAGAACCTTCGAGTGGACTCCTTAAATAGGTAATATAGAAAAGTTATATGTGTAACCAATTGTACACTCTTCTGTAATGGTTCATTGAATCACAATACCAATAAGTGATTAATAAAAGTCAAAAGACTAAAGAGGTCACCTTAAAAAAAAAAAAAAAAAAGCAAAGTTTTATATATACTAAAATTAATATTTAAATTTATATTAAATACCAATTTCTCCTTTATAGATTATTACAAAAATTATATAATCTTAATTAACTTAAAAAGTACTACGTAGAATTTTATGATCTTTTTTTTATTAAAAGAATAGTTTAATAAATTTCTAATTTTATTTTTAGCTTCATATCTTATTTATTTAGCTTTATACAAATTTTTAAAAAAATGCCCATAATAATATGGTACTCCACTGTATATATATTATTATAAATATGTACCGATAATATAATTATCTCGCATTCAAACGATTTCAATTGTTTAGTTCATAGTCATTTTCGAATATTCATAATTCAGAGTATTGCAATCTGAGTTCTTGAAACCATGACCAGAATTTAAATTAAGTTAGCAATATATCATGCAAATTCGGATTTTTTTTCCAAATTTCATGCGTATCGTAATTTTCAGAATTTCTTATGAGTTTTCGGAATATTTCAGAATCTATAAAAATTTTGCCCATATTATAGTGGCATGTTAGCATTAGAATATATTCAAAACGTGATAACAATAATACCTACCATTTTAATAAATACGTGCATAGTAATTAGATAAACTACCAACATCATATTGCTTTGCCGGCTTTATAAATATATGCTAGCATTGCATTGCTTTGCTGGTGTTATATCAAATCTAATATATTAAAATTAGTGAGATCTTATGAATGTCAACGATCCTCGCATATTAATGTATCTATATTTATGCATGGTTGTATATCTATTATATTAAAATTCTTTGTTTCTGGATTTATAAAATATCCCAAAATTTGATTAGGCAATAATATATATTAGAAAAACGTTACATTGCTAAATTGTTTCAAACTTCCATTAATTGGTCCCTTTATTTTTGTGACTTTATAGAGACTACGTAATGGAACTTTTGAAACACCCAGTATAGTATCCCTTTTGTAATTAGTACCTGGAGTACTATATATCATCAAATTGTTTTTTTAAAACTTTATGTAGCCCTATAAAGTTATATAAACATCATATAAAATTTTTATATAGGCCTACGAGCCCAATGTAAACATATATAATAAGAATTTTTATATGTAAACTATGTAAGTTTTATGTATATTTTTATTTATTATTTATATAAATGTAAAATCCATATAAATTTTATTTATATCTATATAGAAGTGATTTAATTTACTTTAGCTATTTCTCAAAGTGGCTAAGGTAATCACCGATCGATTACTAAGTAAAAATGTTCAATATGCTCGAAAACCTTCCCAAACCCTAATTTAAACTTTAAAATCTAATCCTAGATTTAATATTTAAGTTAAAATTTTTTTGCTATTTTACATAATTCTATATAGAAAATATATATAGATTTATAGAAATAGATATATAAATCTACATTGGGTTTATAAAATTTTTATGAACCTGCATAAAAATTCTACATAAAAACATGTAGTAGTGATGTACGAGTAATTAGGGCGTTCTTTGTCAGTTATGCCGGGTCTTTGATAAGTCCCTAGACATGACCTTTTTACTAATAAATTTAATAGTTCTAATAATCAAAGTGATTAAAAAAAGTTCTGTCTAGAGACTTTATGACTACTAATTATATATGTAGACTGAAAAAATTACATTTAAACTTGAAGCGAAGCGACGGTCTTATGTCGAAGATCACGCGACTAAATCGGTCACCCATGGTTCACGTTTTCCGGGTCTAGCAATATAATAATTCGTTATATCAAAATATGTATACATAGTTCGACATAGTTTTAGGCTGGTAAAAAGGAGTTCATATGCAGAATATAAAAATCTATTACAATCATACTCCTTATAATCACCTTCTATATAAACAAATTCATTAATAAACTTATAAAAAATACTTGTATATAAGCACATATTTTTTGCTTAAAACAAACTGCGTGATTATAATTGTATTTGAGTTCAGTATAACCAGCTTAAATTATTATAAAAAATTGGTTATGCCAAATCTAGTTCGTTATGGTTCGATTTCAGTATAAGCAGGTTCAGTATATCCAGAGTCGACTGTATATAATAGAGAAGGAATATAAAAATGAAGAAACGGGAGATGACAGGTTACACGTGAATTTCCCTATGACGTGCCGAGTAACATATGAGAAATGAAGTGATATTTTAAATCTGCAATGCAATTATATAACCGTTGTGCATATATTTGCAGCATTAGGTTTACGGTAAAGACAAAATTCTTGCACGTCTTGAATGTATGCTGGGGTTATGGTGCAGATTTCTTGAACTATGAATCAGGTTTCAAGATCAGATAACTTAACACTATCAAGTAAATTCAAAACAAACCTTCATTTTGTCAAAAATTACCACCTCTCCAACTCTAACATAAATGAGCTTTAAAATATCTTTGCTGTGCCACAAAGCTGGCACACATTCAAATAATACAAAATTATTAAAATTATTTAAACCTCGTTGCTATAAAGATTACCATTCATATTTAAGGTAGAATTAACAAAGTAGTGAATCATTTCGGAAAATCTTTTTATTGTGTAAAATTTTTGACAAAACAGATGTTTGCTTTGAATCTTTCCGAACATACCACGTTATATATGATCCTAAAAATTTATTTGTCCTTCGGAGATCTGTGACACTATACATCACATGCCCAATAGTGCGACAACCTATATATTTACTAAATGCAATACCGATACTTCTCACATCTTTTGTTCCTGGTTTTGCGTAACAATGTCGCGCAGCTATCTTATGGGATAATCTTCATGATCCCGATACATAATTGACCTATTTCCAAAAAATTCGTTAAATAATAAGGGGCTTGTATGACTATAAGGCGGAGTAGTATCGAATGTTTCGGCTGAACGGGAGATGAACAGTTTAGCTCCAGCTGTAACCTTGTTAATTCATAGAATTTCAATCTAGATACAATTTTACAATTAAACTAATACATGTAGATAATAAATTTATTTAATGGACGGGTCTGAGTTTTATCCACCTGATCATACTGGTTTCAGTGTGCTTCAACGTACTGTACTACAAAATTAAGTCTGCCGCACAAAAGCAATACAAGATATAGAAAGTTGACATAATATAACTATGCAACCTAAAGAAGTTGATACTTACTTTCTAACAAAAATTCGGCTTATTATAAATGACGAGAATTGGGAAAAAATAAATAAATCAAAAGATGGCAACTATTCAACTATTCGTTGACACGTCTGGAAAACTAACTTTAAGAACAAGCAAATTTAAATCCAAAATTCAGATAACTTTACTAACTTTCAGAACTGAATACATTAACAACGTACAAAATAATGACGTCCAATTTTGGATACAACCGTTAACATTTAATGTAGCAGATATATCTAAGCAGCAATCGAATTGTAAATCAGGATCTTCATTATTGTACGTACTTAGAGACCTCTAAAAGCTGAAAATGATGTATTGGTTAATAGACATTCATCTAAGTTGCAAACATATAAATCTGTTCTACTACTTTCCCTTTGACCTACATTTCAGATTATAAATTTAATAGTGTCATATTTACAACCCTAAATAACATCGTATTATACTCTGTAATAACTTTAAAATCATATACTCGTCAGTAATTTTTTTAAAAGAAACATAATGTCTGACTTTAATGAATCGAACAGAACAAATCAGGAAGTTCACGTAACTCAACCGTCGACTCAAAAAAGTAGAGGGATGATGATGTTACGACTTTTTTTAACAATGTTTATCGATATTGCTTTACCATTAATTCTTTATTATATCCTTTCAAAATATATACCAACTATCTGGGCGCTAGTAATATCAAGTGTCCCACCTGCAATTTCAGTTATTGTTAATTTTATCCTTCGCAAACAAGTAAACCCTATAGGAGTACTCGTTATAATTGGATTCATTGTCGGAGTTATATTGTCATTAGTTCAAGCCGATCCAAGATTATTCTTACTACGTGAATCACTTGTCACTGGTGTATTTGGTTTGGCATTCGTTATCACCTTGATTCCAATCAAAATCAGATCATTCGAAATGCGCCCCTTATTATATTATAATAGTAAAAATTTAGAAGTGGGTGATCTTAAAGGTTTAACAGAAGATGAACCTATTCCTGAACGTTGGGAAAGGCATTGGAGATCTTATCCTAAGTTTCGACTAACTTTCATCGTTTTGACGGCTGTTTGGGGACTTGGATTACTTATTGAAGTTTCAGTCCGTATAATAATTATTTATAATACAGCAACAATTGACGATGCAGTTTATTTTGGAAGTATTTTTCTATATAGTTGGTTGAGTTGTTTAACTCTATTTACATTCATTTTTTCAAGATATATGCAAAAGAAAGGTGAAAGCGAAAGATTACGAAAAGAACAGGAGGCCGCAGTTAAATAATAGGTTTCACCTACCTACATTCCTTTTTTTTTTATTGGTCTTATTGATTTTGAAGTTTGTTTACATTTATATGCTTTTAAATTTAGAATTAAATCAGAATATATAGAGATTGTAAAGACATTCGCCATTTTATTGATCAATTCTAACAGTCGATTTTATATATTCAATTTTGATTGTCTCTATATGTATTAGAACTTATATCCTAAATAATTGAAGTACATCGCATTCGAATTTCTAGATTAAAATAAAATACTAGCTATTAAATATCTAAAAAAATTATATTCGATAGTTTCTTATAATTTTAAAATTTTATGTTAATAATAATCAAGTAGTTTATTTCGAAAGAGTTTTAATTATGACAGTATGTTTTTAAAAAGAAATTCAATGTAATAATGTAATAATATTGACTTAAATTTCCATTAATTAATTTATTTTATAAATATATCATATGAATAATAATAAATTAATTTAGTTATCTCCCGGATGTTATTCAAGAATTCAAGTCGGCAGTGAAAAAAATTTTTAAATTTTGAGAATTCTTATAGAACTCATAGCAGAATCACTGGTTTAGAAACTAATTATATTTCTATCGAAATAAACGTTAAGTTGTACTTAATTTAAAATAGTAAATATTCCATGTATGGTTGTTAATAGAGCAACATACTCCGGAACAACCCAGGTTATACTCCATTTTAAGATTGTAGTGGGTTGAGATTTTAAGAATTATATAGTAACCTGGAGCAAGGTTATTTCTTATAACCGGGTTACTCGTGACCTGGTTATTTCGGTTTTTTTGCATTTTTTTCTTTGGTAAGTGCATTAAAGTTCTTTTAAACATTGCAAATCTATTTATTATTCGAATATAATAGGAATGTCGAACAACATAGTAATATCATTCGGAAAGCTATTTTATGAGTGCCATCTAGGGAAACCTGTCATCAGGTTTTCAATGGTATTTGTACCTGATATGATCTAATTTATTAGGAATTGTATTCGGTACGAAATAGAATTGAAAGCATAATAACAGGTTTTCCCTTGATGGTACTCATAAAATTGTGATCGTAAAAAAAGCAGTGGGATTCACAAGGATTCAAGGAATTGTATAAGGCGAAGCAAAAACATGATTCATTCATTAAATTTACTCTTATTTTATAGAAAATTAAGTTACCCAAGCTTTTAAAAGAAGTATTGTAAAATATATAAAAAAATAATTTATCAATTGTGCAACTATATCAGAAGAATCTACGAAATTGAACAGTCACTTCTGTTGGAGTGGTCTGGAGCAAAATCTGGATTGCTTTATATGGAGTGACCTGAAGTAAAATTATTGGATCATTAACTCAGAGCATCAATCTGAAGTACAATTAAGAGTGTTAATTTGAAATATAACCCATGTTGGGTTGAATAAAGGCTTGCTTCGTCTGATTTTAGCCCAACCCATTTCATTAACAACCCTAATTTTATGAACTTGAATGGTTTTTTAAAAAATACTTTTTTTTAATAAATGTTCTTTAAGCTGACAATTTATAACAACAATAAGTAGTAAATATTTATATTTAAATAGTCATTTTAAATAATTATCCTAATAAAATGATAACTATTCAAAGTCTAAAGGATTTTTGTTTTATATTACACCTGATCTAACTAATAAACATTGATAATTAATTGTTTTAATTTTTTACGCTACACTTTATCTAGCTAATCAAAATTTAAAATTTGTTAATATACAGATATTAGATATACTATTGTTCTGTTTGTATTCTTCAAATAGTTAATAATATTTTTATATTAACAGTCTAATTATTTTTTTTTTAAATATTAAGGTGAGTACTTGCGATCCAGGATTTTATTGATAGTACATTCAGCTAATAGTTGCATTACAACCACAGGGGGCAACTATGGAAGATTGTACAACTAGCTACTTGTACCACTTTAGTCATTGTCTAATTTAAGTAATCTACCTGAAGGTTTTACACTAGTTGTTATACTTGGAACCTGCTTATAAGTTTTATATTTAAACATTATAGTTCTTGTATCCACTCACCTACCTACACCTATTAATGATCCTAATTGATATCAGTAAAAATATGTTATAATCATTAAGTCTTTAAAGCAGTTCATTCATATAGGAAACTTTTGACCTTGTATTAAACCTTTTAGAATCTTCTGTATCCATTCTTACAGCTTACCCAATAACATTATGGCTAAAACTAACACTTGTAGTTAGGATGTATTATTAAACCACTGTGTCTTTGTAGAGTTCATCTCAACCTTAGTATTTATTTTATAATATATTCTTACTAATTTGGTATTCAATTCAAGTTCCATTATGTTCCTAGTCTAGATAGTTCAGAAAGATAAGTACAATCATATCTCTGGTTTATATTTTTTTTAATATATAATTTTTTTCTTCAGAACAAATTCTAGTAGTCTGATTGATTATAATAGTTCTTTTCTAAAGACTGACTTGTCTTTATCTGACTTTATAAGTTCTAGTTTTATTTTATAAACAGTAATATTGTTAAAAATTTAAATTACCTCTCTATTTAGGTTTTCCAAATAGGTTTTTGTCTTTCTGGTTCCTATAATTTACATAGTCATAGGGACTTATTACAGGTTCACATTGCTTAGTATCAGTTTGTGTTTCTTTATACAAGATACAACCATTACACAAATGTCATATGATCTTCCAGTTATGTTTATATGACATGGATAATAGGTATCTGATTCTAACTAATAGCAAAAGACAGTTAATTGTAATACAGAAAAAATTTCAAATTTTTTATTAATACTAAAATTTGAACTCTAGATCTATTATTTAGAGGTTAACAACCTGACCATTTTACTAGATCATCACATCTTATTAATAGATTAAATTAATAATTTTAAAATATATAAATTAATAGAAAAATTATTGTAACTATTACAAATAAAAAGATTTTTATACTTAATATAAAAATTTTATAACATTACTTATTAGAAGTATATTATTTAATCAATATAGTAATATTAATTAAGTTTATATTAGAATATTACATTACTATATTTTAAAGTTATTATCTATATTTCAAACTGTCTTTTTGACTCTTACTAATTATAAAATTATTTTATAAAAATTTCTAATTTTAAATATAAAATTTTAAATTATTATTGTTTATTATAAAATCCACTTATTCTATTTAAACAAGTAGGTTTTATAATTAACAATAAATTTGTAGTTTAGTATTGTATAAAGACAAGGTTTTTTTTAAAAAGATATAGTAAAAAATAATATTATATAATATTAAGTTAAAAATTTAAAAATAAAAAATCAAATTAAGAGTATGAATCCTATAGCTTAATTATTAAGCTTCTATATTTTCACAATCAAGGTCAATAGTTCAAGTTCAGCAGAAGGCAAAATAAAAAGATTTTAGTCTCTGTAAACTATAAAGAGTCTGTAATTGAATACAAAGCCTTGTGATCAAGTCCAAATGCAGTATATAACAAAAAAAGGAATTTTTGGAAGGAGACAGCTTTGCAGAGTGTAGGCATTATGTGTAATAGTAATATTATAGAATATTCTGTTACATAAATTATTGTGCATATAAGTTCTCTGAAAATAGGGCAGTACCAACATCTTTGCATTCAACTTGGAAAATACTTAATTGGAAGAATTATACCAAGGTAATATGCACTGAAGTGATAAGAAAATAATGCATGCATAGAAGGTCTATAACATAAAATTAGCCTTATCAAGATTGGAAGCATCTTTGATACTGTAAAATGACTGGAAATAGAAGGTAGCTATATATATAGAGAAGTTGTATTCTGTTCTGTATATCTAAAGATATCAAACCAGAACTTTGGTCACACCTATATAAAAGTTTATAGTAAAACAAATGAAACATATTAACAAAAATGCTGTACTAATCAAAATTGAAATATTTAAATTAGAAGTGCCTTTGTAAATAAGCACAAGGCATCTGTAAGAATACAAATTTATACATGTATCTGTGTAAGTCAGTGTACATAGAGGGATGCAAACTAGCTTTAGGCAGTATAAACACAAGAAAAGTTCTTATATGTTTAAATAAAAAGTGAATATTAACCAATAACTAAAAGAGAATAAAGTACTATTTTTAAAACATAGTTCTATCTATATTATAAAAGAGAGTATTTAAGAAGCAGGTTAAACATAAATCCATTTAAATAATGCTAAGACCAAAAAGAGTTGCAAATTAGCAACATCAGCAGGTACCTGGCTTGAGATACATGCTACCAGTATCTGAATTGGAAAGTTA